AATAATAATAATTTATAATAAAAATATAGATCAGGTCGGTCTCCTCAGCAGTAAATAAATGGAGAACTTTAAGGCAAATGTCACTGTAAGGAAAGTAATTGAATGGTATTTTTAAATAAAAAGTTTATTTGAGATTGGGATTGTAGGTGATTGTATGAGTGTCAAGGACCAGATTGGACAGCTATACATGAACAAAGGTAAACTGAGACCTGTTAGAAAAAGATTTAAGACCTACAACATTTCAGTAGATTTAAGACAATTTAAAACCCTGTGTAATATTTATTTTGTTTTATTTATTTATATATATATATTTATATACTTATTTTATTTTATTTCATTTTTCATTTTTCACGAATTAAAATGCACTACAAAATGCAACATAAAAATCACAAAAGGAATCAGTTAAATATGTGCTCAGTTATCCAAACTATTTTTTATCCATTTAAATTTTTAATGCAACTTTTTACTTCCCATTAAACTGCAAGATACGACTGTGATTGCAAAACTCTCTCATTTGGACACTTTTAAGATGAACTAAGAGATCGAAAAACATCTGAATTAAACATATACAATGATACAAGTACCGAAAGACTTCTAACATAAAACAAAAGACTTTTAATAAGTAATAAAACACATATTAATGTTAATAAAACAAGAGACATTAAACAAGTAACTGTTTTTGTGTTTTAACTGCTTTAGTGTAACAACTGCATGTTTCAACATCAAAAATAAATTACACAAAAAAAAATTGTAGCCGCAATGTTAGATATTAATACCTGCGTATCAACAACACAGCCAAGCTGGATAAGGAGCAGAATAGAGAAGTCTGTGTGTAATTATGATCTGACTCTGCTGACGTGTCCTTGATGGATTGCAACACAGTGTCGCAGATGGTAATCAAGCACCATCATGTACGGGTTCTCATTTACATATATGCATAGCTTTAGCATGAGCAACGGGACAGGTGGGCAGAAGAAAGACGTCAAAAGCGCTTACGGTCTGTCTGTCCGATCGCGCACATCTTTCGTCTGTCCCGCTCCAGTCGGCTTTCCGTCTGTCTGCGCGTCTACCTCCCCCTAAAGCCTTCTGAATTATGAAAGTGTGCTTTGTGATTGGAAAATGACAACATTAATTGCTTGTAAGCAGAGCGCGGAGGCAGAGGGATTTTTGATCATGCGCTGATTGTGATGGGCTATAAATGAATAACACAAGGTGAGTGAGGGTGAATTATTCATAAGCTGGAAGCTCCTTGCCGGTGGAGGACCCTCGGAGCGTTATCTTTTCATCCAATTCAGCCAGCCGTGCCGCCATCATTACCAAGGCAGATTGCTCCAGGCCAGTTATTATAATGGCAGCAGTTATTATCGTTAATGCCACTGTCAGGTATCTGTTGACTGAGTCTACCACTGCGGCCACTTCCATCATCAAAATCACCGTTGGAACATATGGTTTACACTACCCACAATGCACTACAAAGGCAACTTTTAAAGGGATAGTTCACACCAAAATGCAAATCTGCTATTAATTTACTCACTCTCAGCTGCTCACTTGCATTTTATGAATCTCTAAGCACCATGGTTTCAGTAAAAAAGCTAATGTTCTACTGAACAAAAGGGGTACCTACATTGTGGATTGCCTGAGGCTGAGTATTTTAAAACAAAAAAATAATAATTTTTGGTTAAAGCACTTCTTTAAATCAGAACTATGCTAGTTTCTTCAAACTATAAATATATCAGTGGTAGAATAACTTGAGAAATTCCACTGTTGCAATTGCCTGAAATCACCCATGAAAATTTGGGTTAGCAACTCAATACACAATCCCGCTAGGGTTGTCACAACACTGGAATTCAGTACCAATCGATACTGAAATTGAAAAAAACATCCATTTTCCACTAACATTTGAGTGCTGTTGAGCATGTTCTTAGGGCGTACTCACACTATGCTATCCGAACCGTGCCCAGGCCCATTTCCCGGATCATTTGAGAAGTGTGAGTGCTCTGAATTGGGCTCAAGCATGCTCAAGCATGGTTCAGTTGGCCGGCCCTGGCCTGGTTGAAAGAGGTGTGCCAGAGCGTAGTTCACTTCGGCAAAGTACGCCGGAGCCTGAAACTGAAACTATTACGGGATTGTTTCATATGGATTTATTAATCACTCTTACTGTTCAATGAACGCAAACTGTCGTAAATTATTAAAGACGCAAACCCCTCACTGCACGACAGCTGCACCTTTAGCAAACCTCATAAATCCTGCAGCATGAGGACTTTAAGGTTGTTTATGAGCATAAAAAGTGGCTGATCTGTTTAGCGAAATATTTGACTGTGTGTCACCGCATCCCAAACGACTAAAACAATATAACTAAAGAAATCTCCACTGTGCTGAGCAAAAGTACTTACTGAATAGCGAATTATCAATGACGTAAGCGTGCCCAGGCCTGAATGTAATGTGAGTGCGGGTCAAGATCACTCCTGTAAAACATAATTCCAAATTCAAAATCATTTTTAAAAAAACGCCTTTGAAAGGGGTTCCGTTTTGTCAGGTTTACTCTGCTTTAAGCTTAACTGTCAAACATGTTGTCAACAAGAACATTGTATTGGTCTACTGTATGAAGCAAAAACAAAACACAACATCACACCATTTGTTTCGATAAATGAATAATCGGTGAAGCAACCTCTCACCGCTGTTTACTAAGTGTAACTACAGATCCTGGATCACTGAAGTGTTTCAGTCACGTCGACCAGCTAGTTTGTCTATAAGCTGTCATACGAGCGATCCGCTGATGAATAGCAGCTCTAAAACAGTCCAGTGTTTCTGTATCTGTGGTTACACTCAGTAAACAACGTGAGTTTGGTGAACTGATGACCTTCACGGCCAATCAGTCTTTTCTGTTGAGCACATGAACACAATGACAAATCAGCACTGTTAAGGAACATGCTCAACAAGTCCCACCCATTTCTACTGTGAGGATAAACAGAAATGTATTTGAGCAGAACAGTGCGATCTGCTTTGCTAGTAACAGGCTTATCAACCACAAGTGGGAGCTGTTAGAGAATGTTGCATACAAAGTGTCACTTTAAGGCTAATTAATACTGCGTCGAGTGCAGGTGGTCGGTCTGATGTAGCCTTCGCTGTACCCTGATGTGGACCCTAACACACACACCTCTCAACAAATGTAACTTCACGACAAAGCAGAGTGCAAGATCTGTAATTTGGTCAGAGTAGTAATGACGATAAGTATGGGCAGGGCAGAGAGCCGCGGGACCGGAGCAAGTGTTTAACAAGTGTCGAGTACTGCGGAGGAGCTCTAAACAAAAACACAAAACTTTTGTTTTGCTTACTTTGATTAAAGTTGTAACATTTGCCGGTTCCCGTCATCTATAGCTACATCTATAGTAGCAGTGATTATAGTAGCAAATTGCTTATTTTGTCTCAAAATATACTTTAAACCAGGTGCCCAGCAGATTTTAGCTCTAACCCTAAACAAACACACCTGAATAAGCTAATCAAGGTCTTACTAGGTATACTTGAAACACCCAGGCAGGTGTGTTAAGGCAAGTTAGGGGTAAACCCTGCAGGGACACCGGCCCTCCAGGACTGAGATTGGTGAACCTTGCTTTAAGCAATACAGGACCATGAATGTAATTTCAAAAATGTGCCAGAAGCCAACTAATAGGGTCAATGGGTTTCTAATGTCCACGGTTTTTGGACAACAGTGAAATAAATAAAATAATTTAAGTCATTTTTAATTAAAATGCAAAAGATATAAAACAAGATATAAAATACATAATATAGGTATAGATAAATAAATAAATAAATAAATAAAAGGTTTCAATCTGCCTTTAAACGAGAATGTTATTTGAATAGCAGCTCAAATTGTGATATGTAGTCTGACAGCGATTGCAATTCAGCACGCGATGGATGGCAAAACAAATTAGTTTGAAATTTAAAGCTTTGATGTATGTGCCTCTAAACGTTTTATCATACCAGATATTGCCATTATTAACTAAGGCAAATATTAAGTTTTCTCATTTGAGCCATTTAATAAAAGTTGCCTGTGAAATGTAATAACTCATAACCCACTAGTGTTATGACAAAATACTGTAGATATTGCAATAACTACACATCACGAGCACTGCATCATAATATATCATAATACAACATGAGAAGTAAATGTGGCACACTTTCTTGATCCCTATCTGCCTTCCTTCCCTTCATCTCCCTTTCTTTCATAATCACCAGCTCCATCATTCTATTTTTTTATTACTCTCACAAGTCTCTGACTCGCTCTATCAGCCAAAATGTGTTTCCTCTTCTATGTCTGAGTACAGTCGAATCACCCAGGAACATGCTGCACATATAATAGAAGGGAGGATTTGGGCTGTTCTCTGGGAATAATCCCCTCATTCTGTGCTAGAGCATTGTGTTCGTTGTAGAACTGCCGGCTTGGCCATTTCCTATGAGGGCCTATGTACAGAGCACAGCTAGGAGTGCTGATGATTAGCAAGTAAGCTATGCATTTGCACGTTAGCCTCTCTGTGGCTGTCCAAATTGTTCAGGCACCAGAAAAAAAAGTCCCAAGAGGACTGGGGCAACAAAAACTGGACAAGTTTAAGAGTTTAAAATCAATTATCACTTAGGGGGAATGGACACATATGGCAAGAGATTGACGAGGTGCTAATCCTATGGACTAAGCTAATGATGTAGCTAGGCTAGTTAATTGAGAGAGGAGGTTTCTCTGTTTACAACAGTGAGATTCTCAGGGCCTGCATCAATGCACATAGACAACACATTCCCAACTGCTTTAACACTCCAGTAATCTGGAAACAACATGCATTTTTTTTATTACAAATTGATTGACTGCTGCAACACCCATCAACACTGGGACTGATCTGGGGAGATTTTATGTGTTTCAATTCATTTGCAAACAAGTCAAAACAAATATAAGCAGCACACATAGCACCCTGCATGTTAGTATACCAAAATAGTTAGTAAATGTCACTTACTGAGTTGATGCAGTTCAGTTCCTTGTTGAGGAGCCAGGGCAAGGACAGTTTCCCTTCACCCCGGTAGCAGGATTGGATTCTCTCCTTAATCTTTTCCTTGATTTTACGCAGTGTGAACAGGCAAAGGGCTGATTCTTTAGGTGGCTTGGCCCGGTTCTTTTGACCCTGAGCAAAAACAGTAAACAGCACCTCCTCCTGTTCAGAGATACCCAAAGACCGTGCCAGCTTGGCACCGGGCCGGCTGAGGTAGGCATCTTGAACCAATCTGTATTCCACACCATCCTTGGTACAGCCAATTGGAAACTCCACATAGGAGTAGAACTTGGGGTCATCCACACAGAGTCGGACAATCTTGGAGGTGAAAAATTGTTCACCGCTAGCATCCGGCGAGGTGAGTTGGGTGTCCAGTTGGAGAGTCAGGTAGTAGATAAACTGCTCGCTGCTGAAACCATAGACGTAGTAGATATCAAATGTAGGGAACTTGGAAAGTGTGTCGGACGGAATCTTGAGCTGTGAGGAGACAAACTCATCCTGGTAGACAAAGCTGAACATATCAGCATTCTCCTCATTAGCCATCAACTTACGACTGGAGAGAGTTGGGAAGTATTCAGATTTTCCTTCAATGGGTGTACCAACAAACAATTTGCCACTATCTTCCCCTTGGGATCCACTAATAACCACTCCTGACATGGTGCCCGCCTCGGAGACACTAGAAAGGTAGTGCTCCTTACGGTGATGTGGTTCACCCAGCTTGAAGAGATCATCCAGCCTGAGGAACTGGCATATACCCTGTGAGGTGCTTCCACACGCAATAAGCCTGTTCTGTCCTGAATCGAGAAGCAACAGCTTGTTGACGTTGTTGGTCTGTGAGAGCTCATGAGGGCAAGACTGAACACCAGGTGGCGGGTAACATTTCTCATTATCCACCACAGGACCGGTAACATGACTTCGGAGCTTGGTCAGGTTGCTGGAGAGCTTGTAGATCCAATTGACAGCACCGACATAGACTTCACCCGTTTTGTTATGGACGACCAAATGAGTAAGCCCTCCCTCTGGTGGAGTGAAGGTTCGGAAGGAAGAGAGGTTAACCTCGAGCCCCCCATTTTGAGGGAGGAACGAGAGGAAGAAGAGAAGGAGGAAGGCCTCACAAAGAGAGGCCGGAAGGTGCCCCCTACCATACGGCAGCATTTTTCGTATCTTTCTTAGAGGAAGCGGTAGGCCAGGTGATACGTTCACCTTTGTGATCCTGGTCCCAGAAAAAACCTGGACAGCGTCTGTCAGTCTATGTTGAGGAGAGCGACTTATTGACCCAGTGTCCTTTCTGCTCTCTCTCTCTCTCTCTTAGCACAGAGCTGTCGTCTACACCATCATCTGCAGCGCCATGGCCGCTAGCCCTGAAAGGGGAAGAAAACACATCATGAGTGTTGAGAAAAAAACTGAATAGAACATTGTCTATCGATTCGACTGGAGTTTAAAAGTTCTGCCTGCCCAAGAGGAAAAGAACTCATAATACATAAACATAAATATCTTACAGTGGGGCCCTGGGTGGAATCCTATACAACATTTAATGAGTGTGTCAAGCTGGCAGACAGCAGTGCACTCCACAAACTCCACACTGAGAACTCGTCTGATAGACCTGCTGTGCCCTTAAATATTTCACACAGTCTGTGCCAACTCAGCTGGCACAAAAAAGGAAGAGGAAGAGCGAGTATAGAGCAGGAGAGAGTAAAGGAGGTATGGAATAAAGAAAGAGTGAGCGATGCCATAACTGTAGACTAGTTTACCAATTCACCTTGAAGAATGCCATAAGCTAAGAAGGATCAGCAATAAACGTTCTCATTTCCTCACACTTGCACAGAGAAGCCATTCAACTTGACCCTGCATAAAACAAAAGCACTTCCCTTGAACTAGGGGAAAGCAGTGAGGCTTTAAAAAAAAAAAAAAAATCACAGTACAGACACCACACCCCCTTGGCTCTACCACAGGGCTGTGGAATGAGACACAATCCATCAAATTTGTTCTAATTGAAAGTCTAATGACATTCATGTGATCATGGGGGAGGAAGAGCAGCTCTGGGTGTCCAGAGACATACTCAAGAGTGCAAAGCCACTTAAACAAGGACAATCTCGGGCCTCTCATCTAGCCAGCAGCAGGGACTGTCTGCTGCTGTGACCTTCTCCAGTGTTCAAAACAGAAGCATCATTGTATCTCAGATGACATTTATCTCACTTCACAAGACTATTGAGTGCGGAGACTGCCTCTGGGTCTCATTCACCGCTCAATGCTGTGAGCCACACTGTGGGCTGACTGTCATGTGCAAGGCTACGAAACAACTTTGCAAGAGAGCAAATGCACATTCAGGCAAAAACACATACATCATATACAGCAGGACAGGGCTCTTCAACTCCAATCCCAAATTAACCTGTTTTTTTTTTTTGCACAATGATTGGCTTGTTTGGGTGTGTTTGGTTAAGATTAGAGCTGAACGCAGCATGACACTGACCCTCAAGAATTGGAGCCCTGATGTAGCACAATATGATACATATCATTCTGGTTAGGAGGGGGACTAGGCATGCTCAGAACAATTGCCAGCAGTTTTCAGACGATAATCATATTATGTGACTTAAGCCCCAATCACATTACTACCCCTACTCCCCTGCTTTGTGCGTTCATGTAAAGGTGTACGGATGTCTTGACTTTCTTCTGGTTGAAAGGACAGGGATAGGGGCAAAGCCATGATTTTAAGAACCCCACTTCAAATGAAGAGGATTTTCCTTAAAAAAATGTTTTTGGCACACATTAATAAAGAACATATTTTATGAAGTGCCCTGTGGATGATGCCTTCAATGATTTATTGTACACATTCATACACTTAAATAATGAAATTGTCTTTTTTATGTGGTTTATCATCGTTTTCACAAAAAATTGGCCCAATATTCATAATCTTGCCAGGGTCCCCACAACCTTAAGGCTGGTTTATACTTCTGCGTCGAGTGATCAGGAATGACCCATGGTGCCTACCTTGCACATAACCGTGCATTTATACTTCTGCACGCTGTTTGTATTGCCCTGCAGTAACACTTCCTAAACGCTAGCTGGTAGTAGGTTTTGAGTTTCTTCATGGGTGTTTTGTTTTTTTCTGAATGCTACCTTAATATACAAGTAGCTAAATCTTGCTTATTCAGAGGCAGGAACCGGCAGACATGCAACAACTTTAATCATAAGGTAAACATAAAACAAAAGTTTTTATCTAAAGCTCCTTCACTGAACTCTACACTTGTAAGCATTCGCTCCATTGGGCTCGTGGCTCTCAGCACTGCCCACATTCATCACAGCTACCAAGTCGACCGATCACAAGGCTTGTGCTACAGTATGTGTCGTTGCGATATGTAGTTACATTTTTAAGAGGTGCGCATCGGCGTCAGCTACAGCGAGGTCTATGCAACTATGCAGCGGCTGTGCCAGATCATACACGTGTGCAGGTAAAGGTCCAGGTAAAGGGAATTTGCTTACATCTTACTGCACCTCTAGTATCAACTCATAATAGTATATATGAAACAATAGATAGTAGTGGATAGTATGAAAAATAGTAGTAGTGTGTTGCTTTTATTTTCACCCCCTGTATGTTGCCATTCTCTTTCAATATGCAAGTGGAAGATGTAGGCTTAGAAAATAAAATTGGGAATTAGCTTTAGTCCATACATTTGGTTAATCTCATAAAGCAATATCCACTGTTTAAGGCAAAGTTGCTAACAAAATGAACATAATTGTCTCTACACAATTAAACAAACCTTTTACAGCTGTCGCAATTGCATTGAAAATTTAGATCTGAAAGAACATCTAAACCAGTGGTCTTAAACTCAGTTCCTAGATTGGAGATTTTACCTCCAACCACATCCAAATCACACCTGCCTAATAGTACTGTATACTATATACTATTGAACATCTTAGTTGGATCAGTTGTATTTGATTAGGGTTGGAGCAAAACTGTGCAGAGCCTCCAAGAATTGAGTTTGAGACCCATGATCTAAACAGTTCTGATTTTTAGCTATTTTAAGTTTACATCATTTCACCACATTTACAGTGTAATGTGGTGTGCTGACAGGAGTCCAAATTTCAATCCTCTGTATTGATCATCACAGCTGAGTTTTTCTCAGCTCAACTGACTCAGAATCAGCACTCGGAGGTGCTTTTGGCTCCATGATACAGGGCCACTGTCAAAGCAAATTCCCAGCAGTAGAAAAACACACCAAAAAAAATTGCCTATAAATAATCAAGTAACTAACTAAATAACTCCACAACAAACTTAAAATTGAATTTAGCAGTGCTGCACCTGACCCATTACAGTCTATAAAAACAAAGCTGTCAGAGTTTTGACTTATCTGGGACAAAGATATGCTAATGAGCGGGTAGAAGCTGCTTAAATGCAGATCCAAGTGTCCACTTATTTTAACTCAGAAAATGAAACAAATAAACAGGAGAGAAAGAGAGAGAGGGGCAAATTATAATAAACTGAAAGTCCTGCAGAATATACACATGTGCTGCAATTTATAATACTGCACCGCAGTGCTATTTGCGTGGGATAGAGCAATTAGGATATCCCACCCACTTGCTCCAAGCTGGCCCACACCAAGGATAAAGGTGAAATTGGATGAATCAATTAGAGGAGGTATGGGAGTTGCATGGCACCTTCAGGATAGCAAAACCTGCCTGGCTTGGAAAATGGCTGGCAGGACCAAGGTATCCGTGATGATTTATTGCTTGTGGCACATAAATTACAGCACAAGCCATGAAAACGGCACCTCATACTTAAGCAAATTTATACAGAGCTCCTTTTTAACATGGAGGTCACATCGCTGAGCATTGTGGGGGTAAGAAGGAAGGCAGGACTCTGTGATGGCCACAACTAAACCACCCAGAGAGGCTCTGCATAGCGGGGATCTGCTTTCTATTACAAGCACGCAGACACACTCACATACATCAATACATAGAGGCCTTAATCCACAAACACACACACTGAGAAAGAGAGGGAGAAAGAAAGAGAGACTGGGCTTTCTTTATTGTTTTGTCCATCGGACCTGAAAATTTCCTTCTGTCCGTCGTTCATATTATAATTCAGCTAGGCTTTATTTTAGGTAGGCATGGGACGATAACCGGTTTCGAGGTTTACCGGGGTTTGGAAAAGTCAAGGTTTTAAAACCGCCAGAGTTTTCTGATATACCGTTCCTACAGTTTTTTTTTTTTTTTTTTTTTACATGTTTTTATGCGGCCATTTTGTTGGTATTATAGTATTATATTGGTATTTTATTATAGTTTTTTTAGGGCAACAGTATCTCTAACAGAAAAGAAGCCTCCGCATCAAAAGCTACCGTTCCAAAATATGTCAAATATTTCTTAAAATAAAATATACTTGTAAAAGTTTTTCTCTTTCCTGGACATATTTTAGATACCATGAAATTGTGATACTTTTATGCAAGTTTATAATACCATCACAATCTTTTCCCATGCCTATTTTTTGGTACCTCTTATTCTGTCTTTTCTTTTATCTGTTCTCTTTTTCAGTCCTTCTCTTCTACCCACAATTAATAACCAGTTCCATTAGCATGCATGTAAAACATGAAAAGAGATTCTGGACCGCATAATAAATGTAAATCCACATTAAATCCAATCTATGTAATCAAATTAGGAAGTATGATTAGTGTAATGAAATTAAAGCACAAAGCAAAAGAATGTGTGCAGGACAAATATTGAAGCAATATTAATGCATGTATGTTCAATAAAAAAAATAATAAAATAAATAAACACGCAAAGCCAGCTGCATCATTCTGGATAAAAATCATCTTTTTTTATGTTCAATCTGAATGAATGAATCAGTGACTCGTTCAGTATTGGAGGGTCTGAACAACTTTTTTAAAGGAATAAAATCTCTTGAAAGGCTGCAGCTTAACTGAAAAAATATATTTATCCGAAGCATCAAGTTGCTTTTAAAAGGTGATTTACTCTATTTTGGTCACTATATTAGACATTAATATAAAAGGTGGAGTAGGTGAATGCTATCCGTTAGCATCAAAACTCTGAAACACAATCCCTCCCCTGCTGTCCAAAGTTACGCCTCCTGAATAGGCAAGGCAAGGTATAAGATTCTGACGGTATGGTAACCTTGGATATAAATATCACAATTTCACGGTACCACGGTATTGAGATTACTGCTCTAAACTATATTCCTTTTAAATGTCTGGGTAAAAAAACAAAACCTTTTTCCCCTTAAGGAAAAAGGTTAATATATTTTCTTTTGAGAAACATTTTAAATATTTTGGAGTGGTAAACATCTCAGGCTAAATAATTCAAATGAATTATTAACGTTTGCTGTCTTCATTTGTTTCAAAAACACAGA